GGACAAGGTGTGGGTCAGAGCCTCAGGCACTGGTTTGGGGGCAGGGGCACAGGAAGTGAGTAGCACCAGCTAGAGGTCCTTGGGGAACTGGAGAGCTCTGGGGGTCTGGACTCACAAAAGCAGCAATGGCCGCTCCATCCCGGGAGGTCACAGCTGCAAAGGAGACCACCAGGAAGATGATGATGGCACTGACACAGCGGAGGAAGTCCTGGGGGGTCGAGGTTCCAGGTCAAAGGGCAGTCAGAGAGCAGGGGCATCCCCCTGAACTTCTCCAGGCTAGTCAGCACTTGGCCCTCGAGCACTGAATTCCTGCGTAAAGACACCCCTGGACTACATGAAGCACTTAAGAGAAAGGAGGGAGGGAGCTCACATGCTCTCCAGGGAAGGAATGCAGAGTGACCAGGACAGAAAGCCAGGGGCCTGGGCTACAGCTGACCCAGGCTCGGCAGCTAAGGCCAAGGGGCAGGGCTGGGGCTGGGACTGCGCCTTTGATGAGTGGGAGAGCAGAACTAAAGGATGTGTGTCCTGCCCTGGCCGGTGTGGCTCAGCTGGTTGGAGCGTCTTCCTGAATACTAAAGCATCGATCCCTGGTCGGCAAGCATCGATCCCATCGGGAGGCAACCGATGGATGTTTCTCTCTCACATTAATGTTTGTCTCTCCCCTCTCTCTTCCTCTCTCTCTAAAAAATCAACTAAAAAAAGTTTTTAAAGGATGTGTGTCCTCACTGTCAGTGACCCAGCAGCTGGGAATCAGTGTGATCTAAGCAGTTTTTGAGTACAGGGCACAGCTTGGGGCAAAGCCCTGTCTGGTTGAGGGACCCAGGAAAAGGGGAGAGGCTGGAGAGGAAAGGAAAACTCTGTATTCAGAGGAGAAGAATAGGGCCGGGGAGAGGGGTCCCTCACCAGACAGGGCCAGTTCAGCCGATCGAAGCGCTGGTAGTACTGGGTGGCGTAGAGGAAGAGGAAGGCGAGGGTGATGAAGAGCTCGAGCAGTGCGGCGGCCATGTAGGCGGAGATGGAGGCCGTGAAGCAGATGAAGATGATGAAGGTCAGGGCCTGCGGGACCAAGTGTGTGGACTTGCCAGGAAGGGGACACAGGCAGGGGCTGGCCTTGGCCTTCTCCTCCTCAAGGGTACCCCCAGACTGGCCCCCACCACTGTCCTTCAAGGTCTCCCCACCCCTGGTGGCCAGAACCACTTCCAGGGCTTTTGCCCACGGACAGTCTCCAGCCTCCCACCTCTGCCAGCCCAGGTGAATCTTTTAATTTGGGGATGACCAGCCGCCACCTGCCCTTGCCCATCCCAGTAGCCCGGGCAGTTTGGTGTCCTGCTGGGGCACAGAACACAGCACAACCGCAGCCCCTGGCACCCTCTGCCCCAGGAAGCAGCCCATGCCCCATAATCGTTTCCCCACTCCCGATGCTTCAAACTCCTCCAACAAGGCCCAGAGCCAAGGCAAGAGACAAGGGCTAGAAGACAAAATGCCCCACAGTGGATTCTGGGGCCCGGTCGGCTCTGGCACTGTCGGGGGCACCTGCGCAGAAGACTCGCCTTTACACGAAGGCCTTCTAAGTGACTACAGGAAGATCCTTTCCTGGGAACAGACGTTCATGAGGAACAGACAACAGTACAACGGGGCTGCAGGCAGTCTGCCCTTTTTGATAGTTGGGCTTCTTGGACATGCCAGGAAGTGGCCATCTTAGAGCCCGGGAAAGACAGGCTGGTGCTACCCCCACCCTGCCCCTGTGTCTTGCACTCCCTCGATGTCCCAGAAAGCTGTCCTGTCTACCTTCAATCCGCCTGCCACGGCTGAAACCGGCTGTAACTGCCTCCAGAAGAGAGGCCGCGGGCAGGCAAGGAGAAGGTGAAGGAGGGGCAGCTGGGGGTAGAGGGGTGCCCAGAAAGCCTGGGAAGGGGGGCGGTGGGCAGGGCGGGGGGACCAGGGCTAGGAGACATGGCGGTGCCAGGTTGGGGTGGCTGCTGTTACCAGCTCAGTTTCCAGCAGGATGCCTTTGAGGGAGGAGAGGAAGGTCTTGTCCACAGCGAAGCCCTGGAGCCCTGCGGCTGCCCCCTCTTCAGGGGGCCGGTCCCGGCGATCCAGAGCACTGAGCATCTCCACGGGCCCACCAGGCACAGCCCCTCACTGCCAGCAGCCCAGGAAGGGAAACAGGAAGATGGAAACCTGGCAGATGGGGAAGCAGACAAGAGAAGGAAGGCGCTTGAGAAACCTGAAAGTGAAGCGTGCAGGCCTGCTGTGGGGTCCAGGGAGAAGGCAGCCGCCGCTGGGGAGGCCTGCCCACATGGGCCTTCACCCAGCTGCCCAGAGTGGCCCTGCTGGTGCCTGCACCAGCCCCCACAAGGGTGGGGAGGGGAGGGGAGAGGCTGTAGAGGAGTGGCCAACCCTCCCCGGACTTGGAGAAGGGAGGAGGGCGGGCGAAGAGGAGGAGGTCTGTGGAGACCGGGAGGAGTTGGGAGTGGAGCCAAGAAACAGGCTGGACTAGGAACCCCCAAGCACCTAAGCCTGAAGAAGTTTGTGTCCCCTCCCCTAACCTTAACCCTTTTCCTTGGCCCATCTTTTCTCCCTTTTCCTTTTAGGGAGGGTGGGAGCTGGAGCCCGGCCAGGCAGCACCCCCAGGACCCAGCTGTAGCAGCCAAGATGAAGGACAAAAGCAGATTGTTGGGGGGACAAGGGGGTGCTGTGTTCTTGCTGCAGTGCCTCAATGGGCCTCTGTCTCTCCAGCATGCCAGGGGGGTGGCCTGACCCCCGTCCCGGTGTTCAGGGGTGGACCGGGGAGCCAGAGAAGGAGAGGCATGGGAGCCCACAGCGGAAACTCTGGAGAGAGCGGTAGGTGAGGGCTGACCATGGGGAAGACAAGGGACTGGGCTGGGGACCACAAGATGCTCGGGCACCAGGATGCCGAAGACAAATTAAGCCACTTTTCAATACAGATGATTTATTTGGATAAGTCTCTCCATGCTCAATAACAGCCTCTTCCTCAGAGTCACCCATGTCAGGAGACTAGTATGCTCAGATGAATGAATGAATGAATGAACGAACGAACGAACGAAAGAAGGAACGAACAAATGAATGAAATGAGGGGTTCTTTGTTGGCAGGAGGGAAAATATCAAGAAAGTGCCTGTGCTTCAGGAGGGCAGCTGGGGAGGGGAGGAAAGGAAGAGCCAGGCGGTGGCCTCCTGGAATGCGCAGGGCTTGATGGGAGGAAATCAGGATGCCAGTTCCAGCAGCCACAGCAGCTGCTGCCCCCTTCGCTTCACCTGCACTTCCCATCCACTCCAAAAAGTGCCAAGTGTGTTTCCTCTAAGGTCCCTATCCTGTCCCACGATCCTATTGCTCCAGATGATGCTTTGGGGGGCTGAGCACTGGGGCGTCCTGGCTCACCCTGGCACATGCTTGTCCACCCAGCTCCAGTGTTCCGACCGGAGGCCAGCCCTGGGCAGCATGACTAGGCCATCACACGGGGCCGCACACACACGCAAGCAAAGGAGACACGGTAGAGCCTGCGCTCCAGGCAGTAGCCATCATGGGCACCCTGCTCTCCAGGGCACCGCCGGCGGTAGAAGACGGTCTGGTTGTGGTAGAGGAGCTCCGAGTTGCCCAGGGGGTTCATGTGGGAGCCTGTATGTAGGCTGACGCAGTGTGGACACAGGCAACGGGCGTGATACAGGTCCTGAGGGAGCCGGTTCAAGTCCCTGTCCAACCTGTAGGGATGGCATGTGTCAGTCAGGCCTTGGAGGGAAGCTGGCTGGGCAGACAGGGCCTGGGCCCAGTGTGGGTGGAAATGTCAGAGGAAGGAAATGGTGTGGTCGGGAGGCCTGGCTTCTTGCCCTAGCTCTGGCACCCACTTGCCGGGTGACTTTGAACAAATCGCCCCCTCCTCCCCAGCGTGAGGGTCAGGATGGAAGCGTGGCTTTCCAACCGGCCACCAGACCAGCTCCACTTTCATCTGATGTACACACTGAACTCTGGCATGAGGTTTCTCTTTGTAACTGTTATTACATTTTAGGATGTTTTTAATTATAAAAGTAAAAACTGTTCTTTTAGTCATATATATATATATATATATATATAGAAGACTAATAGTCTTATCTCCCCACCAGTCCCACTCCCCAGAGGGCACCACTGTCAACCATTTCCTGCACTTCCTCCAGACACTGTGCACATATTATAAGCACATGTTAGAGGGCACGGTGAGACTCATTTATTTATCCTGAAAGGATCTTGTGGTCCAAACAGGTGAAAAGTAGGAGTTCCACAGGCCTGGGATTCCAGAAGCCTAGCAGGAAATAGCTGCTAGGTTGTAAGACCATTTTCCACGCAGTAGCGCGCAGAAGCTGGGGCTCAGCTAGCATTGCATTTTCCAAAGCGAGTTCCCTAATAAGTAACTTGCAAGAGAAGGGGTCTGTGGCCAGGTGAGTTTAATGGTTTCCTTTCTGCAGACTTCTCTCGGACTTTAATGTGCTGAGCACATTGAGTCTCCAAGCGGGCAGGGCTAAAGTAGCTTTACCCACACTTGCTTGACATCATCACTTTTTTTCTGAGGAGCAGCTTGTGGGAGGAGTGTTGCAAAGAACCCACTTTGGGAAAGGCCACCTGAGTGGTTATCAGGGGCTCACAGCCTCCCAACGACAGGTCTGGACCCCAGCCGAGTTAGCCAACTGACCCGCAGCTTTCCCAGGGCCCGGCCAACCTTCTGAGACCACCACTTCAAAGCATGGTGACAGGGAGACTCCACCCTGGATCTAGTCTCAATCAGAGCCAACCTTCTCCCTACCCACTGAACTTCTCCTTCCATCCCCAAAGCTAAGGTTAAGCCAGCCTAGACTTGTGAGGAGTGGGAACACAGACACCCCATGAGGACAAGACAGAAGGAGAAATTTGGGGGGGATCCCTAACGCCTAGTTTTTAGTATTTTGTTTCACTGTCCTGATTTCAGTGCTTCCTAATATTTTTCACATCGTGGCACAAATAGAGAATTATGATATTTGTTGCCCTTGCCGGTTTTTCTCAGTGGTTAGAGCATCAGCCCAAGGATTTAAGGGTTGCCAGTTCAATTCCTGGTCAAGGGCACATACCTCAGTTACAGGTTTGATCCTCGGCCCTGGTCAGGGCACATGTAGGAGGCAACCATCGTGTCTCTCTCACGTCGATATCTCTCTCTCTCTCTCTCTCCCCTCCCTCCTCCCTCCTCCCTTCCACTCTCTAAAAAGCAATGGAAAAAAATATCCTCAGGTGAGGATTAAAATTATATATATACTAGAGGCACGATGCACGAAATTTGTGCAAGTGTAGGCCTTCCTTCCCCCGGCTGCCAGCACTGGCTTCCCTCTGGCACTCAGGACCCGGGCTTCCCTCGCAGCCCTGGCTTTGTCCAGAAGCTCGTCCAGTCTAATTAGCATATTACACTTTATATATATATATACAATTTGTGTGGCACACTGAGTGAAAGAATAAGCCTGCTCATGATCCAAAGTCAGCAGCCACCCAGCTGCCCCCGAGTTGGGGGTTTCATTGTCCTGGTATATTTATGACCCACTCACATCCCAGTGCAGAGCATTGCTATTGGGATGCTTCGCATCTGTATCATACTAAGATTCCCTGATATTCTAGTTAGAAAAGTGTGACCATTATAGAGGTGGAGGAGGAGCAGGAGTAAAGGAGAGAACCAACATTTTATGTACTAAATATAGGTTTTACATACATTATTTCATACAATCTGCACATAGACCTATGCAGTATTATCTTATTTTACAGATGAAAAAAACCTGAGCTTTGAAACCTTGAGTAATTGGCCCAAGGTCGCCCAATAAGAGTCAGAGCAAGGACCCAGACTAAGCTTTGTCTAACCCCCAAACCTTTATGGCCTCTGAGATAAAAAGTAGCAGGTAGGTTGGAACTGGGTGGAACTCCCTTGGCCCCTCAGACACACCCTGCCTGGTACACATGCAAGCATTCGGGAGGGGACAGTAGACTCACACATATCTCCAGGGAGAGATGGACCTGTGGTTGAGGGGTCCGTCTTCGCTGGCCCTGCAGGATACTGGGTGGTGGTGGCTATCAATCTCCGGGGGAGGTGTGAGCACAGTGTTCAGCTCTTCAGTGGAGTCCTGTTCTTTGATGGAGAAGCAGCGGGGCCAGTGGATGCAGTCCTTCTGAGGCCGAATACTGAGGGTGTGTGTTCCCATGACTATTGCTAAGAAGGCAACCACCTGTAGGAAAAGGCCAGTGAGAGAACTGCTCCAATCTAGTCTGGGTTCCGCTCTCCCAGCTGTTCCCTAAGGTCCTGAATTCTAGCTTCACCTGACCCCCAGCCCCCAACCTTGGAGCCCAGCCTCCCTCCACACACAGCAACATCCTGCGGCTTTCCTACTTGGCACCCTCCCCACTGAGCCTCTGCACACTCACCTGGTTCATGCTGGCTGCCAGATGCTGCTCGCCCAGCGCAGTGCTGTACAGGCTGATAGGCAGGGCCCTGTGGAGGCAGGCTGACTGGAGCAGTTGAGAGTCCTGGTTTTATTTTCAGCAAACCTGTTTTGTTTATTCAAATTTATTTCCACTACCTTTTGGAGGGAGTGACCTGAGATTAAAAAACAAAACAAAACCAAAGAAAACCAGACAGTGTTTCCAGAGCTGCTTAAAATGCTCTACTCATGGAAGTTGTGATGAACATCATTGTAAGCCTGGGAACCTATTGGGTAAATTTTATTCTTTGTATGAGGTCAAAGCAATAGTATTCTGCAATTCTGAGACTTTGAAAACTGGCATTATGGGAATTTCCCTGGTTGGCTTGGTAGCCAAAATTAGGGAACATTTTCTGGCCTCTCTTAAAGAGGCCTCATTTCCATGGTCTCTGCTGCTCCCACTTGGGTCTTATCTCCATCATTCCTTTTCTTCCTAGAAGTCCCCCTGATCAACCACCTCAGTGAAATTTCCACTCTATCTCCTGTGACTATCAACTCTTCTGTTCTCTGGCCCCTTCTTCATCTTCAATGACCCCAACTTCTACAACCCCCATCATCTATGACTTCTCCCATCATCCATTACCTGCTCCGGAGGCCACACAAACCCCATTGCCCCCCACCCCGACCCTTTCCCTGATCCCACATGACTGCCAAAAAGGTCCCCATCCCATCAGTTTGTCGGCTGGATGCCCAGGGTCTGATGGAAGAAGCTGTGGGTGACTGTTCCCATTGCACAAATGAGAAAGTAAAGCCAAGAAGAGGAGGAGCCTGATAACTCCCTCACCTAAGACCCAACAGGAGGCCCCCAGTTCCAGGAACCAGCCTTCCCCCAACCCCAATCACAAGGCCATTGGAACAGGTCATTGTAGGGGTAGCTGCTGTTCTTAAGCCATGACCCAGCCTTCGAGCCCCCAGTTGCACGGGCCACTGTCAGCTGGGGCAGGGGCGGGGGAAAGGAGGGATTGTGTGCTTCACAATGGCTCAAGCTGGGCCTGACCCCAAAGACACAGGTCAGCCAGG